AAAAAAAAAAAAAAAAAAAAAAAAAAAGATATTGTCAAGTTAATTAATAATAATATTGTAATTGATATTACACAATAAATCTCCAAATTAAAAAACCTCCAAACTACGAACTTTAGATTTTATGGACTCAATCTGCTGCGATGACATCATTACGAACAATCTTTTTAAACTACAAAACACTTAAAATTATATACAAAAATCTTTTGGAAAAACTAAATGTATTAGTAGAAAAAAATAATAAAAATTTAAAATATAAAATATAATAATGGAATTTTGTATCCACAAACAATAAATTCTGACAAAAATTAACTATAAATTAATCTAATTACAGGTGCCAATTTACCTAATTTACACTTAAAGTGACTTAAAAGTCTAACTACCTGTATATACATTTATTTTTCTCTAGCTTTTGTCCACCCAGTGGACTTTATCAAGAGAGAAAATAAGTATATACAGTATAGTTCATCTTTAAAGCACTGAGTTCTGTTATCATTTACAGCTGACTAACATGGTTACATCCTTTGTTTATCATAAAGTACAAACTTACCTAATTACATATGTAAACTTGCAAATTACAGGTATACTTGCCTAATTATATGTGTCAATTTACCTAATTACAGGTGTAAACTAACCTAATTACAGAGGTGTAAACTTACTTAATTACAGGTGTACTTGAATTATAACCACCATCATATTCAGTCGAACTCTCCAAAGACTCAAAATCAAAGTACTAGAAAAAGAAAAATAATTATTATTGTACACTTAAATCGTGATATCATTTTTTTTTATACAGCTATAGCTATTTTCTTGCTCTTTACACCTCCTTCAATCACTTAAAACAGATATCTATTGACAATAATATATTTTTTTTTTCCCAGAAAAAAGCTGTATAGTGATAAACTAATAGCATCATAGCATGGTGCTTCTATACCTGTGTCTAGAGTTCAAATTGTTTGAATTGTATGTTTCTCACAAAAAAAAAGTCATCCTTCCACAATGTGTCTGCAGTAGTTTCAAGTCTCCTGCAAGCCATGAGGCCTCCAGGAATTGGCACATCTCCCAATACTCCCACGAGCAAGAAAAAAATCTCTAACAAACTAACCATCTCCCACAAATTTATGATACTTGCAAGTTTTTACTCCTGAAGGTTGCTGGCATTTGAAATAGATTCAAGTTTCACAATAACTTTATTGCAAATTTAATGAAAATTTGAAATGTACAGGTGTGTTAACACTTTCACTGCCAGCTGCATTTGAAAAAAAAATATCAGCCACCACCAGCCTTTTTAGCGAATTCGACCATTTTCCAAAGCTCGCTAAAGAGTGTGTACATGATCAAATTGACATATTGTATTACACACTAAAAGAATGACATCTCACCTTTACAAAGGTACCAAACACTAATATTCAAATCAAAATTTTTAACCCCATAATGATAAAATAAAAGTGGCTCACTTTTGGGGATTTACACAATGAAGCTGAGATAATCGCGATCAGTATCACCATGCAATATAAGGTCACTAAGAATAGGTTACATTGAAATAGCGAAACATGTGGTCCCGACCGATTTGAACACTTTAGTGATTTTCCAGAAATGCAGACATACCCCCTTTATCATGTAAAAAAAGAAAATATCATGTAAAAAAAGAAAATATCAAAACCAGAGATCTCCATCTTTGGCGGTCAACGGTTGGGATTTAAAAGACGGAGATCTCTGTCTTTGGGGGTCAAAGTGTTAAGAAAGCTTATTAAATCAGACTTCCTCAAGTGGGTTGTCTTAACTACGGACCACACCTCTGTATGAGATTTCTGAATCTAACTCTCAATTTACCTTGTTACCACAAACAAGCAGTTCAACCTCCTCTGGCCTGAACCATATCTTTAAAGGGCTTTCGTCGGTGACCATATCGAACCCTCGTTTAAAAGCTTGGAACTGCTTGGTAATGGATTTGTTCAACATGAAGTCTGCATACAAATCAACAAACTCCTGTAAATTATTTAAATATATAAAGTAAGAAAAAAAAAAGATGAACGGTATACAACCCGAGAATTAGATTTTAGGATTGAGTACAAGTATACTTCGGAGCGCAAGTATACTGCAGTTTGTAGAAACTAGTTCAAAATTACTCTTATCCCCAGGAAGAGCTGCCTGCCCCCCTCCCCCCTAACAGTCACGGAGAAAAACCATACTTCAGCGGGAAGAACAAAAATTTATATGTATTTTCAACATAGTAATACTCTAAATCAATTAGCCCTTTTCAGTCTGCCATATTACCATTGATGGAAGCTGTACCAAAGCTGAGAAATTACATCATCTACAATAAATGTTGGGTATTTACTGGGCGCAGCCATTTTATTTCGTCTGAATACAGGCCCTCTTCAGAAATACTCCTACATCACTCTCAAACAATTATATGGAGGGCAGCATAGCTATAAAACAAATTATCAGGAAATCTATACAGGGTGTACGTAGGACGTCCCTCGCTATGAAGTATGGTCAAAGAGGGCGTCGTTGCGATGCCATACGACTGTAAAGGGTTAAATAAGCCTTTAAAACTCCAAAATTGTCAAACATTTTGGGGTTTTGCCCCCTGGACCATTTTCAAGAGATTTTGATTGATGCCCGACCACGCCCACTTTGCTCCTGTCGGGGACTTTTCTCTTATACACATCTAGATGTGTATTCGGGCAAATCCTGGCACCACCCCTACATATAAAATATCATAAATGTAAAATGAGTTGTAACATCTCACCTGTCTATTGTTATTGGTTACTGGTATTTTGCCTCCATCGTCCTTTAAGTTGAACTTTTTGGTACCACCAAATAGGTCACTTACACTAATATTAAATGTTTGCATAAAATCCTCTTCTACATTTCCCTCATATTCTAATAAATCTTTCAAACTCTTGTATAGAACCTGTTAATACAAAAGAAAAAAGCAATACTTTAATCAATTTGACTGAAGATAGTATTTTGATTTTCACTGAATTGATGTTTGAAATCAATGAATGACTACAACAGAAGATTAATTTTTTAGAGGCCACCCCCTCCCCACATGAAGGCGAAGTGGGGGGGGGGAGCCTCGATGATCAGTTGAGGGGCACTAATTCGCAAAATATGGTGATTTTACTGTAGGTGATTTTTACCACAACACAATCTCAAAAATCATTTGGTCCACCCCAAGGATAAAATGGAAAAAGAGGACACTTGTGCCATTCTATACAAGGTAAATTGCTATAACTGTAACAACACATACATACTGTAGGAGAAACCTGCCGATCCCGAAAAACTAGAATCAACGAACACAAAAAGGAAGTGACAGAACAATGTAAAGGAGTGTTAACTAGATACGCAGACTGTCAGCCTCAAAGCACCATTCACAACTGAGCCATCACTCACCATATGACTACACATAATCATGTCTCAAACTGGAATCAGAATGGAACACCAGAATAATCAAAGAAGCCATCAACATAAGGCTACACCCCAATAACATGAACAGAGATCAGTGCGCACACGAACTGCCGCATATTTACGATAATATTTTGAAGAAAAACGGACCCCGCACATCCCGTTTGGGAAATCCCAAACGGTCATCAAAGGCTAAAGTTGGTTCATCTGAGCTGACATCGGAAAGCCCACCACTGTCATATGTGGCAAAGACAAGCCAAAACCAGTCACTCGTCGCAATAATCGATTTTGAGTTATTAAAAAAGTAAAATAATAGCTATAAAATGGTAAAAAAATCATTCAAATCGGACATTTCCTTATGAAGTTACAAGCGTTTAACCACACAGCTGTTTAAAAAACAATATATGAGAAATTAGCCGTCAAAGTTTATGATTTCAGGCATTTCTCATGCAGAAACTATCTTTAAATCCTTAAAAAGTATTATTTTAACATTGGAAATGGGGAAAATAACAGCATAGAATGATGTGTAGATATATAAAGGTTAGTTTAGTGCAATAAAATAGATTTTTAAAAATTTGACATTCCAGCATGTTTTGGCCATTTTCTCTGAAACACGATTTGCGACGAGTGACTGGTTTGGCTTGTCTTTGCCACATATGGGCACTTATGACTAAGCCTTGCTGATAGCAGGCGAAACGTCAAGAAATAAATAGTGAGTAAATATCTTAATTTTACACTTTGGATCATCTAAAAGAACCTTTAGTACACACTTATCGTTTGGATCCAATGAATTAATTCAATCACATGTAACTGACTTACTGGCTGGCATTCTTGCATGTCGTTGAAGGTTGCACGTTTTCCTAAGAGCTTCCGATACAGTGTCATCGGAAACTGAATATTCAATATGATGTTGTTATAGATAGCTAATCCCAAGACGACACCAATCAATGTAAACTGACGATCCGACTCAAAACTCATCGAATTGAACCAATAATTGTTGGTTTCTACATTTTCTGTAAACATACCTATGAAGAAAAATTTGATGTATTAAAATAAAACAAAAAAAATCATCCACAGAATTATAACAATATCAATATCATTCCAAAAAGTTCTGTTATAATATACAAATATTAACATCCTATAAATTGGCCAATAATAATAAACTTGATAAAATGTAATTTAAATAATCAATGCATATGAATCTAGAAAAAATAAAATAATTTGAATATCTGAAAATTTAATTACTGCATTTTACAATTACAAAAATTTTAAATAATTACTTTTAAATATTTCATCAAACACATAATAATGAATAACAATATAAAAAAAAAACAAAAAGAAAAAATACTCAAATCAAGTTTATCCAATACCCAATTATAGTGGAAAAAATTCACTGAAAAAAATCATCACTAAAAACTAAAGCCTTGATTTCATAAAGGTGTTGCATACTATCAGCGACGCTAATGAATCTGTCTGTCAAATCGGGAAGCCTTCCCGATTGCATCAGTGACAGCTATGCAGTGTACTGACTGCGTGTACAGTGCATGTGACTGTGTAGCAATTTTATGTTACCTATATCAGGATTAAAGATTTCCTGAACGACCAACTGGAAAAACTCTTTCGAAACGCCTCCTTCATCAACACCTTGCTCGCCTTGAAACTCTACAAACAGCTG